AGTTAAGGAGAGTATACACCCCTGCACTACCCCTTTGGATCTGCAAGTTAAGGTGGGTACACACCCCTGCACTACCACTATGGATCTGCAAGTTAAGGGGGTATACACCCCTGCACCGCCCCTACAGATCTGCAAGTTAAGGGGAGTATACACCCCTGCACTATCCCTTTGGATCTGCAAGTTAAGGGGGGTACACACCCCTGCACTACCCCTATGGATCTGCAAGTTAAGGGGGGTATACACCCCTGCACCGCCCCTACAGATCTGCAAGTTAAGGGGGGTACACCCCTGCACCGCTGTTACGGATCTGCAAGTTAAGGGGGATATAAACCCCTGCACTACCCCTATGGATCTGCAAGTGAAGGGGGTCATACCCCCTGCACCGCCCCTACAGATCACCAAGTTAAGGAGGGTACATACCCCTGCACTACCCCTTTGGATCTGCAAGTTAAGGGGAGTATACACCCCTGCACTGCTCCTATGGATCTGCAAGTTAAGGGGAGTATACACCCCTGCACTACCCCTATGGATCTGCAAGTTAACCGGAGTATACACCCCTGCACCGCCCCATCCAATCTGCAAGTTAAGGGGAGTATACACCCCTGCACCGCCCCATCCGATCTGCAAGTTAAGGGGAGTATACACCCCTGCACTATCCCTATGGATCTGCAAGTTAAGGGGGGTACACACCCCTGCACTACCCCTATGGATCTGCAAGTTAAGGGGGGTATACACCCCCTGCACTATCCCTATGGATCTGCAAGTTAAGGTGGGTACACACCCCTGCACTACCACTATGGATCTGCAAGTTAAGGGGGGTATACACCCCTGCACTACCCCTATGGATCTGCAAGTTAAGGGGGGTACACACCCCTGCACCGCCCCTATGGATCTGCAAGTTAACGGGTGTATACACCCCTGCACTACCCCTATGGATCTGCAAGTTAAGGGGAGTATACACCCCTGCACCGCCCCATCCGATCTGCAAGTTAAGTGGAGTATACACCCCTGCACCGCCCCATCCGATCTGCAAGTTAAGGGGAGTATACACCCCTGCACTATCCCTATGGATCTGCAAGTTAAGGGGGGTACACTACCCTGCACTACCCCTATGGATCTGCAAGTTAAGGGGGTATACACCCCTGCACTATCCCTATGGATCTGCAAGTTAAGGTGGGTACACACCCCTGCACTACCACTATGGATCTGCAAGTTAAGGGGGGTACACCCCTGCACTGCTGTTACGGATCTGCAAGTTAAGGGGGGTATACACCCCTGCACCGCCCTTACAGATCTGCAAGTTAAGGAGGGTACACCCCTGCACCGCTGTTACGGATCTGCAAGTTAAGGGGGGTACTCACCCCTGCACTACCCCTATGGATCTGCAAGTTAAGGGGGGTATACACCCCTGCACCGCCCCTACAGATCTGCAAGTTAAGGGGGGTACACCCCTGCACCGCTGTTACGGATCTGCAAGTGAAGGGGAGTATACCCCCTGCACCGCCCCTACAGATCACCAAGTTAAGGAGGGTACATACCCCTGCACTACCCCTTTGGATCTGCAAGTTAAGGAGGGTACATACCCCTGCACTACCCCTTTGGATCTGCAAGTTAACGGGAGTATACCCCCTGCACCGCCCCTACAGATCACCAAGTTAAGGAGGGTACATACCCCTGCACTACCCCTTTGGATCTGCAAGTTAAGGGGGGTACACACCCCTGCACTACCCCTATGGATCTGCAAGTTAAGGGGGGTACTCACCCCTGCACTACCCCTATGGATCTGCAAGTTAAGGGGGGTATACACCCCTGCACCGCCCCTACAGATCTGCAAGTTAAGGGGGGTACACCCCTGCACCGCTGTTACGGATCTGCAAGTGAAGGGGAGTATACCCCCTGCACCGCCCCTACAGATCACCAAGTTAAGGAGGGTACATACCCCTGCACTACCCCTTTGGATCTGCAAGTTAAGGAGGGTACATACCCCTGCACTACCCCTTTGGATCTGCAAGTTAACGGGAGTATACCCCCTGCACCGCCCCTACAGATCACCAAGTTAAGGAGGGTACATACCCCTGCACTACCCCTTTGGATCTGCAAGTTAAGGGGAGTACACACCCCTGCACTACCCCTATGGATCTGCAAATTAAGGGGGGTTTACCCCCTGCACCGCCCCTACAGATCACCAAGTTAAGGAGGGTACATACCCCTGCACTACCCCTTTGGATCTGCAAGTTAAGGGGGGTATACACCCCTGCAACCGCCCCTTTGGATCTGCAAATTAAGGGGGGTTTACCCCCTGCACCGCCCCTACAGATCACCAAGTTAAGGAGGGTACATACCCCTGCACTACCCCTTTGGATCTGCAAGTTAAGGGGGGTATACACCCCTGCAACCGCCCCTTTGGATCTGCAAATTAAGGGGGGTTTACCCCCTGCACCGCCCCTACAGATCACCAAGTTAAGGAGGGTACATACCCCTGCACTACCCCTTTGGATCTGCAAGTTAAGGGGGGTATACACCCCTGCAACCGCCCCTTTGGATCTGCAAGTTAAGGGGGGTATACACCCCTGCACTTCCCCATCTGATCTGCAAGTTAAGGGGTGTACACACCCCTGCACTATCCCTATGGATCTGCAAGTTAACGGGAGTATACACCCCTGCACCGCCCCATCCGATCTGCAAGTTAAGGGGAGTATACACCCCTGCACTATCCCTATGGATCTGCAAGTTAAGGGGGGTACACACCCCTGCACTACCCCTATGGATCTGCAAGTTAACGGGAGTATACACCCCTGCACCGCCCCATCCGATCTGCAAGTTAAGGGGAGTATACACCCCTGCACCGCCCCATCCGATCTGCAAGTTAAGGGGAGTATACACCCCTGCACTATCCCTATGGATCTGCAAGTTAAGGGAGGTACACACCCCTTCACTACCCCTATGGATCTGCAAGTTAAGGGGGGTACACACCCCTGCACCGCCCCATCCGATCTGCAAGTTAAGTGGAGTATACACCCCTGCACCGCCCCATCCGATCTGCAAGTTAAGGGGAGTATACACCCCTGCACTGTCCCTATGGATCTGCAAGTTAAGGGGGGTACACACCCCTGCACTACCCCTATGGATCTGCAAGTTAAGGGGTGTACCCACCTCTGCACCGCCATACACCCCTGCACCGCCCCATCCGATCTGCAAGTTAAGGGGGGTACTCACCCCTGCACTACCCCTATTGATCTGCAAGTTAAGGGGGGTACACACCTTTGCACCGCCCTTGTGGATATGTCATTTATGATATATGTATCCATTCTCTGTCAGCTTAAGTTCGTTTAAGGCGTCGATAACGGTAATCTGAGCGTGGTTGCTGTAAATAAGGGTGAGTTGTGCGATCTTCCGAAAGCTTCACACACGATTTCGCCGGAATTTATTTAAAGAAAGTTGTAATAAAATTTATGAAATAAGTACAAACAAGTCCATGTATACAATAAACACTTTTTATAACCAGACAGTGTTATTACATGATTATTTTCGTACTTCAGTATGGATTTGTTGAAATGGTATTTCCGGTGTTACGTGCTCACGGTAATGTCTTTGCGTTGGGGGAAAAAACCCATCAAAACTCATTATGGCGTGAATAATGCGCACCCCCTTCTACACAGTTGTGTTTTTTGGAGAAAAAAGTGCGCACTATACTCAAGAAAATACGGTAAGCAGTGTTGGTCATGTCAGGTAACTGACGGATGTCTTCCCTGTGAGGTATATGTTGGAGATGAAACTAAAACGGTAATAAAAATGAAGAAAATGGGGAAACAAATTATTTCTTTAAAGTGTCTTATTGTAAAATGCATGTATGACAATACAAATATTTATATAAATAGACAATGTCAGGCTACATGGCCTGTGAGACTACACAACATATATACAAATATATCAGGTGGTGAGGTGAAATGGGGTTTAACGTCGCGTCCAAGATTATTGCACTTATATAGTGACGTGCATGCACGTGTATGTATGTGTTTGGCTGCTTGTACTAGGCCGGACTGATGCCGATTTATAGTGCTAGCTCACTGAGATACCATGCCGCAGTTTAACATGAATACCCCACTAAGACACAGTATACTGACTCCGAGCCGACCAATCCTTGTTTTAGCCCCTTAATGCCGAGCGCCAGACAGGGTAACAACATTTTTTTAGTACCATCTTTTAACGTCTTTTGGAATGACGCGGTCAGGGATCGAACCCCGGACCTTCCGCTCTACCATTAGACCACGGAGGCGGTCTTCAAATATATGAGGTGAAATGGGGTTTGACGTCGCATTCACGATTATTGCACTTACATAGCAACGTGCATGCACGTGTGTGTGAGCGCAGGTTCCCAATGTTAAGAGAGAGAGAGTATGTTCCCAATGTTCTCTGGCAATTTCTTCAATTTTAGGTTTCGTGAAAATATCTACTTATAACTACGTTATTTATTATCGGAAAAAATGCAAAATATTCCATGGAATAAGCAGTTGTATGCTAGTGCAATGCATGGTTAGGTAATTAATAGGTATATATTTATTCATTTTTCCCAAGGGCTTTTAAACAACGGGTCATGCATGAGCAACAGACTGCGCAGGAAATATTTCATTTGTCTTAATTAGCGTCAATATGCACACATAACGTATAGGTTCAACAGAACTTGGTAATATATATCAGGTGTATCAAGACAACTGGCTGTATTCTGTTTCATCGTTGTCTATGAATGTGCACACATTTCAGATATCCGGGCGCCATATCAGGCGTGAAAATAATAAAGTTCCAGACGTACATCTGACACAAACTTTCAGTAACGCATGAGTACATGAGATATGAGTAACGGGACATCCAAACAACTTTGTGTCGGATATGTCTCACGACCCATGACCTTTGACTGACTAGGTTAAACTTCGAACCAATCAGCTTGCTATTCTGGTAATCTATAAATATCTACCAATCAATGCAGCTGTCACGGGCTTCGGCAGGTGCCCGACTGCGGTGTGCAACAAACTATCTTTAGAACATCTTTGCAATCAAAACATTTACACGCAAAAACGACTTGCGTTTGTATATGAACATTTAACAACATGGCTTGACAATGTGTGTGATAGTTGTAAGAACATCGGAATGAGTGGAGCGACATCTTCGGCGGCTAAGACCAGGACAAAATACAAACTGGTGATACTGGGTGACGGAGGGGTTGGAAAGAGTGGTAAGTGTGTGTAAACTCGATTTCGCTGTCGACTATGTCCAGATACAGTTACTAGATATGTCATTTTCGGGAAAACGAACAAGAAAATTGTTGGTAAATACCCGCGTTTGAGATGTTTAGTTTATTCAGTGTAAATGACCCTGACGAGGAAAACTGGGTGATGTTCTACTGGTGTTTTTTATTGGGAACCATACCGTGCGTGAAATCCGGGAACAGCTTGATTAGGTGGGGCCCAAATAGGGTTGAACAAGATGACATCGTAACGAAGATATTTTCTGGAACTCCTACTTCTGTTTGTTAACATTCATATATTCTGTATTTGAAACTAAGAAGTATTGAAGAAATGTTATACTCCTTGATAGACTTCCTTTTCTAGAGCATCATGGGTTTGATCACATGAAGTGTTTACAATTTACGGACCCATATACGTACAGATATATATATATATATATATATATATATATATATATATATATATATATATATGCATGTAGTTGACATAATTGAGATTATACGTAGGCACGCAGGTATCGGAATGTTGTTGGGAACCTTTAGATTGCTTTGTAGAGCAAGTCATGCACAAAGTAATTACAGTGTAATTGTGAAAGTTAGTCAGAATGTTCAGTATGTGTGCCTAGTGTTCTGATTAGAGCTGGGACGGGTAACATTGGTACTCGGGTCGGATGGGTCTTGAGTAGGACCTGGGTACCCACAGGACTACCCAGACCCGTGGTTAGTCGAGTGATTATGTTGTTTAATGGCAAAAACTATCTAGAAGTCTATGAGTTACACTATAAGTGAGAAATGTTCACATTTCTTCCTGACAATGCACACAAATCCTTCTGACTTTATATGTTTGTATTAAGATAAACTTCAGTTTATGCATGATCAGATTGTTTTATACCCGTATCTAAATACATTTTGACAGGAGGACGGTCAGACTGTTCCCAATCGGACATTTTGTACCTATCTCTTGAGACCTAAAGCGGGTACCCGGGTAGGGTCAAATAAGGGGGGTGGGTACCCGGGTAGTAAATTTGGACTCGTCTCAGCCCTAGTTCTGATAGGTAGTAAAATAGTCTAAAGTGCTCTGCACCCAAACCCAACCGGACTCCAGTTCCAGGTTTCAGCACACACTCCATCCAACAATTTGTAAAACGTTTTGTGAAGTGTAAGAGCAGCTGATGCATCCAGTCAAGGTAACGGCCTAGACGTCCTAACTCCAGATCAAGCAACCATCTTTAGTTGGTACTACTCTCTATAGCAACAGAAAATCAGTGCCCCATAGTAATTATTATAATGACACTTACTTATTTAGACACTTCATCGCAATCAGAGTTATCAGGCTGCATGACAAATACAATACTGGTAAGACTTACCTTCAATTAACCAGTTAGTATCACATCTGTTGTAAGAAGTGAGTTGTTAATATAAGATCACATGTTAGATTGTGATAACAGCAGTGCCTACAATACTTAGTCTTGGAACAAAAGGAAATACTAACCTAACACTAAGAATAAATGAATGAAATATTGAACTTTGTGGCATAGATATCCAAAACATGAAGCCTGTTGTCGGCTTACAATTAAAGAGCTTGTTTGCCTCAGATTATGGCAAGTGCATTTACAAGTTTTTCTTATGTTCTGAGAGTTCATCCAACCACAGCCGACTGGCCTACCATTGAAATTTATGCCGGGTAAAAATTTGCAGGAAGGTAATTCCTACAATTGATAATATTCATGTACTACTCTTCCCATGTGTCCTCATTGAATAAGACCCGAATAATATTAATTATATTAATTAATTTAATAATGTTGTAAAGGAGTGATTGAGTGAATTTGTTTACCACCACTTTGTCATTATGTAGGGGGACCAATGAAGATCCGGGGTAGAATAGGTCTTTAGCAACCCATGCTTGCCGTAAAAGGTGACTATGCTTGCCGTAAAAGGTGACTATGCTTGTCATAAAAAGGCGACTAACAGGATTGGATGGTCAGGCTCGCTGACTTTGTTGATGCATTTCATCGATCCCAATTGCGTGGATCAATGCTCATGATATTTATCACTGGATTCTCTGGTTCAGACTTGATTATTTACAGACCGCCATCATATAGCTGGAATATTGAAGAGTGCAGCGTTAAACAACCAACCAACCTGAATAATGTGGTGATTTCACAATTCACTTTATCATTTTGATACTTATCATTGTAATCCTTGCAATTGCTATTGTACAGCATAGAATATAGCCATAGGTAGTTACTGCCTGGTTGAAATAACTCGTGTGACTGAAGTTATCATTACAACACACACACCATGGAACATGTCTTACTTGTTGTGAGGCGGCATGTATCACATATTACTGTTGTTTTTGCACTAATAACAGAGCTGATTGGCTAGTGAGGTTTTACGCCGCTTTTAACAATATTCCAGCAATATCACTGCGGGGGGGCCTGGCTAGTAATGACGTCTGATCACAGTAACCATGGTAACAGAATGTAAAATGAAGCATGAATATTGGGTAGATTACTGTATGGTGATATCATATTTCAACACTGGATTTGGCATTTGTGATGAAAGTTATAAGCAAAGATAATCACATTATTAGTATTGAAATCATTAAAACATTTATTTTCACAAAAGTATGAATATGGATTGGTAAACATGCGAATTGCTTATGTTAATTTCGATACTTGATACATCAATGAAGATTGAATGTAAACAACAAATGTACTTGCCAAGCTAGACGTGTATATATGATAAATATATTTGCAGTTTATATATGAAATTAAATATTGAAGCCATAGCTTACTGTTATTACTCACGCTTAAATCAATTACAGTGTAAGCATATCTGCCATGTAAAATAATTAAAGAAGTAAACTTCTTCATTTGGTTTTATTTGTTTCTATATTTTGTATGAGAAAATTGATAAGGTATGAGAAAACTAATTCATATACACAAGGATGTTAACCTTCTCCATGACAATATCACAAGGATATTTACCTTCTCTGTGACATCACACGGATGTTTACCTTTTCCGTGACATCACAAGGATGTTAACCTTCTCCGTGACAATGTCACAAGAATATTTACTTTCTCTGTGACATCACACGGATGTTTACCTTCTCTGTGACATCACAAGGATGTTTATCTTCTCCATGACATCACAAGGATGTTTACCTTCTCCGTGACAATGTCACAAGAATATTTACCTTCTCTGTGACATCACAAGGAGGTTTACCTTCTCTTTGACATCACAAGGAGGTTTACCTTCTCCGTGACATCACAAAGACGTTGACCTTCTCCGTGACAATGTCACAAGGACGTTTACTTTCTCTGTGACATCACAAAGACATTTACCTTCTCCGTGACATCACAAAGACGTTTACCTTCTCCGTGACAATGTCACAAGGATGTTTACCTTCTCCCTGACAATGTCACAAGGACGTTTACCTTCTCCCTGACAATGTCACAAGGACGTTTACCTTCTCCATGACAATGTCACATGGACGTTTACATCTCTTTGAAATGTCACAAGGATGTTTACCTTCTCCGTGACATCACAAGGATGTTTACCTTCTCCGTGACAGTGTCACAAGGATATTTACCTTCTCTGTGACATCACAAGGATGTTTAGCTTCTCTGTGACATCATAAGGATGTTTACCTTCTCCGTCACATCACAAGGACGTTTACCTTCTCCGTGACAATGTCACAAAGATGTTTAGCTTCTCCGTGACAATGTCCCAAGGACATTTATCTTCTCCGTGACAATGTCACAAGGACGTTTACCTTCTCCGCAACATCACAAAGACGTTTACATCTCCCTGACAATGTCACATAAGTGTTTACCTTCCCCGTGACAATGTCACGTGAACGTTTACATCTCTGTGACTGTGTCACATGGACATTTACATCCCTGTGACATTGTCACATGGACATTTAATCTCTGTGAAATGTCACAAGGACGTTTACCTTCTCCATGACAATGTCACATGGACGTTTACATCTCTGTGACAATGTCACACAGACTTTTACCTTCTCCGTGACAATGTCACAAGGATGTTAACCTCCTCCATGACATCACATGGACGTTTACCTTCTCTGTGATAAGGAAGTGTTTTAGGGCTAAACGGCACTTGGGGAGAAACAAACATATTTTTCCTGTCATACGGAAAACAGTGACTATTCATCACTTTTTTCCTATATCCTGTGCATATATTATATGTGTACATTGTCTGTCAAAAACCTGTAATCAGAATGTGAGAACTGTGTGTGGTGAGGGAACCAGACTAACAGAAGAGTTTGATAGGATTTTGAAGTGGGAAGAACATGAATACATGACACTTTTTATGGAGAACAGCTTCTTATATTTTTTGTCATTTCAAAGGGGGCGGTCGGGTAGCCTAGTGGTTAAAGCGTTCGCTTGTCACGCCGAAGACCCAGGTTCGATTCCCGACATGGGTACAATGTGTGAAGCCCATTTCTGGTGTCCCCCGCCGTGATATTGCTGGAATATTGCTAAAAGCGGCGTAAAACCATACTCACTCACTCACTCACTCACTCACTCACTGAAATTTCAAAGCTACTTCTTGCTCCTTCAACTGGATGTTGTAGAGGTAGAGGTTTCAAGAAACTCTGATTCATTATGAGTTATGTTTGACATTAGTCCGTGTAGCTTGTATGTGTAATATGGCCAGATTTAGGCATGTTACTGTGATCACTAGTTGTAATGTTTGACTGGTCCGATAGTGATGAGGAAGTTATTCCCTCAGCCACACACTAAAGGTAAACTGATAGCTATGCATAAGAAGGCTACTTTGTGTCAATGTAGTATTTTTAGCATGCTTAGATAATGCTATTCATGTTTTAATTTTATGACACCAGACTCCGCTGATGATATTTGTGAAGCTTGTATTATCTGTGTTAATGAAAAATGCAAACTAATAACATTTACATCGAAATCATTGAAAACACTAAGCTTGTTGTATACATCTGTGAG